TTGCATTTGTTGTTGCGTGTGCGATAGATGAGCCAAGTCATCTTCGAAGTCCAGATCGTCCAGCTGCGTCCTAACTGTCCAGTTGATACCGTGCTTCCCTCCAGATGTTGACGTTTTCATAATCCAGTTGATCACCAGAAGAAAGAGAAAGGGTGAGAGTAAGCAACCTTGCCTGACACTGGTCTTCACCTCAAAAGAGTCTGTTAGCTGTCCTTCGTGTACGATTTTGCAGTTTAATCCATCATAAGAATTCCGTATGATGTTAACTATTTTCTCAGGCACACCGTAGTGTCGAAGAAGCATCCACAGTGTTTTCCTATCCACACACACTATCGAATGCTTTCTCGTAGTATTTACTCTGTTAATGAGACATCTAACCAAATTTGTTTTGTAGCGAGCGGATAGGTGTAAAACTACCCAAGTGAGTGAGTGTATGTATATTGGCAAGCACTGGGATTTTTTTTCTCGTTACACGTTTCTTCTACTTAGAGAGTAAAGCAGTCTGATGACCATCTTATTGAAAACAACAATATTATTCGCTTTATATCTGTCTTTGTTCTAGCTTTCACAATAAGGAATCTTTAATAGAATAGTTTGAATAGTAGTAGTAGTAGTAGTTGACTGATAAAATTTTTCAATGGTGGTTTTTTTTTCATCCTCCTCTCCTCCAACTGTGTATATATAAGAAAGAGTAAAGGAAAGTAGATAATGTGGATAATGGGAGTTTTTTTTGAGCGGGGGGGGGGGTGGCAGCGGATGGTATAGAACCTTCCTTCCCTTTTAAGTCGTCTAGAGACCTCACTCATCCCTCTCTACTCTCTCTTCCTATTTAAAATATGTCTTTGTACTACTATTGTTGTATGAGCGTACGTGAGTGAGCGTGTTTATGTGTGTGTGTGTGTGTGCGTGAGTGTACACCCTGTACAACTATGTGAATAATTGACTAGTGATTACTTTGGCGTCGTCTGACGGATGATCGATTCTAGTCTTTGCTCTATGTGTTGTACAACAATAAACTAAACGTGTTTGTACGTACATGTACACTATATACTACTGTCTTTTAATTTTTAAGTGAAAAAATTTGAAATCCAACCGTGAAATAGTAACATGAATGAATATATTGTATTGATTGAGAGAAATGAATTGGAGAAATGAATTGTCAATTTATATTCACAATGTATATGAATCGATCAATGTTAGACCACAACCATTAGAAACCTGGAAGCACTGAAATTACGGCCGTTTCGTCCTGGTATGGATGGGACTACTCATCAGCAGTGGCAGTGCGCATCCACGACTCCTGCACCCTGCAGGATTCGAACCCAGGACCTTCTATATTGTAGGCAAACGCCCAAACCATCGGACCACTAAACCTGTAATGCATATTTAATGTTTGTCTTGATTGTACATAGTAGAAAAGTGTCATTGATATGTATCACTGTATCCCGATGTATGTACGTATATATATATATATATATATATATATATATATATATATATATTGGTGTATTTGGCGAGAATTACACAAGTCTAGTTGAGGAATAGTAGTGTATTTGATGGAATGGATACAGAAGGCTCGATTGGCTTTTGCCAACCTGCGTCACTTATGGCGTAGGCAAGATATCCGGACGGGTGTACTGCGCAGCAGTTAGCTCCGTTCTCCTATATGGATGCGAAACATGGCCGTTAAGAGTAGAAGATGTTCGTAGGTTACTAGTATTCGATCATAGATGTTTAAGAAGCATTGCCCGTCTATTCTGGGACAGTCGAGTAAGCAATGCTGTCGTTAGGAAACGGGTGCTAGGTAAAGATGGCAGATCAATTAATGAAGTGGTGAAACATCATTAGTTGAGGTGATTGGGACATGTGTTACGGATGCCTAACCACCGAATGCCTCGACGAGCTATGTTTTGTGCTGTAGGAATAATAGGTTGGAAGAAAGCTAGAGGCGGCCAAACCAAAACATGTCAGAAATCCATGAAGTCACTGACAAGTGGACTGAGTGATGTTGGTAGATGTAGGCTGTCTGGTTGGGGTCAGCGAGACGAAAGTCACCAATGGTTAGAGACCTTGAATGACATGGCTCAAAATCGTTTGCAATGGCGCAAGTGCATCCATTCGCTGTGCTCTCTCTGAAATCCTAATCTTCTGGATTCGTCAGTACCTCTACCTTTGTCTTGCTAACATTATCTCACTGAATTTTACTTCTTGAATAATAATATCTTCAAACCCTATTCTTCTTCATTACCATTAATACCTCTACTATCTTTATCACTATGGGATTTGATTTGACATTTGCGTCTCTATGCAACATGAACTTATGTACATACGTACGAAGTTCTAAGTTGCAACTGACTGACTGACTGATATGATGGAAGAAGATAAAATTTTCTAGGAAAATGCGTACAGTTTCATGTCGGACACTCAAAGTGACAATCGATTGTATATACTACTTGCGAGTAGTATACAATGGTACTGGTGCTAGTTGACTTATCATAATTGAACTGAACACAATTGATCATTTTTTTATCCATTACCTTTTTTCTGGTATATGATGAGTAGATTGTAACTAGTTTAGTCTTCGTGTGCTCTTCACAGTGTAAGGACGGATGTCACTTCACGGCTGTACTCACACCGCAGAGGTGTGCTTCTTGAGGAACTTGTGAAGGAATTTCGATTAGCATTGGAATGTGTCCGCAGAGCTTAAGGGACAACTACTTGAGGCCGGTTAGGGACAACCTTTTTGTGAGAAGTTATTGACGTGATAGTTCCGCTCTCCAGAAGGCCTTTCCTCCAGAGACGAAAGTCCATACGGTAACCGTTAAGATGTTCATCTAATATCCTAAGAGAATTATTGGTCAATTCCTATTGATTAATTCCCACTGGCCAATTTTATGACCGTCCTAGATATCAATGTCACGTACTTCAAATGTTGTCTCTTATTGGTCGACTTAACTGTCAATGTCACAGACTTCGATGATGTTTCCTTCTCGACTAAAATGTATAGACATTATCTGTAACCTTTTATGGACCGGACCCGGATTTCTAGTCCAGGATCCGTGCCTTTTTCTGGACTCGAACGTCGTACTTTCTGGATGGTTGTATAATACAGGTTCTACTTCATATCAAGTCTTCTTATTTTTACTGAATATGGGGGTTGGGATAATCGGATTGAGTAGCATGTCGTGTCGCCAGATCCTCGCTCTCGTTTTCTGACTAAGGTAAACTCGTAATAATAATTCAAGCATATCAAAATGACATGTTTACGTTCATGCGTAACAGTAACATGAGGTGTGACATTTTTAAGATCGAGATTTTCTAACACCTTCCTTTCTTTGTGAGAAATCAGCATCTCTGAAGATGCCGGTCGTCCGAGCGAAACACCTTACTACTGTCACACCTCTCTAAAATCAGTAGTATGACTTCGCTCTGAGACCTTGAGTTGATTCTTGTGGTCATGCCGTTCTCCAATCGACCTGCCTGGCATGGTAGGACCTACAGGAATATATTTTCCAGCCAATATAGCTCGGTTGGGTTATCGAAATATGCACGCCCGACCACCACCACGCCAAGTTTGCAGCTACGGTCGTAATGGTGAGTAGATCCTAATAGACATAGACAGAGAAAGATCATTAAAATCATGAATCAATCAATGTTGATCGATTTCTCATCCTAATCCAAACTCTACAATCTCCACAACGCTACGCTAACTGTTAGAAAAGGATCATTCGAATTTTGATAAATTATCTAACCCTAGTAGGGGTTTGTAACATCTTATTTCACCACTATCAACTAACATAGTTATGTCATAATCAGACCTAAATGATACATATATATGAATCATTTTTAGCTCGATTGAATCATCACATGTCAACATAGCAGCTACACTATTGAAGCAACTTACTTACTTAACTACTTAAGCTTGTTACCCCTAATGGAACATATAAGCCACCAACCAAGAATTCGCAACTTATACTGGTAGCCTACATGTTGGTAGATGTAGGCCACGTGGTTGGGGTCCACGAGACGAAAGTCACCGTTGTTTGGAGACCTTGAGTGACATGACTCAAAATCGTTTGCAATGGCGCAAGTGCATCCACTCGTTGTGCTTTCTGAAATTCTAATCTTCTGGATTCTTCAACACCTCTATCTTTCTCCTTTTAAACTTATCTCACTGAATAATATCTTCAAATCCTTACTTACTTACTTACTTACTTACTTACGCCTGTTACCCCCAATGGAGCATAGGCCGCCCACCAGTTTTCTCCAACCAACTCTGTCCTGGGCTTCCTTCTCCAGTTCTGTCCAATGTTTGTTCATTCCTCTCATATCTTTCTCTATTTCTCAGCGTAATGTGTTCCTTGGCCTTCCTCTTTTCCTTTTGCCTTGAGGGTTCCATGTGAGGGCTTGTCTCGTGACACAGTTAGGTGCTTTTCGTAGTGTGTGTGTCCTATCCACTTCCACCGCTTATCTTCAAATCCTAATCTTCTCCATTACCATTAATACCTCGACTATCTCTATCACTATGGGATTTGAATTGACAATTGCGTGCGTGTGTGTGCTAATTTGGTGGTATGTCAACCTGAACTAATGTACTTACGTATGAAGTTCTACGTTGCAACTGACTGACTGACCTACACTGTCTTAGACCGTTTATTTTCAGTTCTATCCAATTGGTGTTTTATCATTCTCATGTTTGCCTGCAATTCTCAGTGTAATATCTTCATCGCTCTTCCTCTTCTCCTTTGGCTTTGAAGATTCCAAGTGACCTCTGTGATTTTCTCAATATATATGTCTTATGCACCTCCAACGCTTCTTCTGAATTTCTTCCTCAGCTCGAGGAATCTAGTTTGTTCTCTCCCACAGTGGTAGTGTATTGAAGTACCTACAATATTAGGTATCATAATCAATAAGAATTACTATTATTATTATTATTATTATTATTATTATTATTAGTTGCAAATGATTACATAATCTTGTTTTATTTTCTTTTCATCTAGGTGATCTATTACCAGCGGACGGTGTTGTTATACAATGCAACGATTTGAAAATTGATGAAAGTTCCCTGACTGGTGAATCGGATCAAGTGAAAAAAAGTGAAACTAAAGATCCAATCTTATTGTCAGGTATTATTGTAAAGTTGTTTGTTTTTTTATTCAAAATTCAATGTTCAATTGTTTAAATTGAATGAAATACAAGAAAATTCGGGAGTAATCATTTAAACAAAAAAGAAACAGAAAACAGGGTCGTCATTCTTTGAAGTGTTGGGATAGGAAATTGTCCGAGACTGTCCCTAAACTCTAAAACGGGATGGTTTTGTTTGAGGACCGTTTCAAGGTCTTTTAAGCTACAGGTCTAATAACCCACAAGGTTTTGGAGCTACTGTAGTGAAAGAGAACACAGGTGAGGGCAACCGAATTGTATTTAACGAAAATTACACAGAGTTACTTAGTAAAATAGGAAAACCATATCGTAAATCGTTGTTAATTTGCAAATCTTCAATCCATCATCAATCCATCATTGTCTGACATTTCACTCACTATTCATGCGTTTCATGCACAAATTCCATTGTGTTCCCACTCTTCTTCCTTTCTTGTTGATCTTCCCCCATCCTCTTCTGCTGCCAGACATTACGTTTTTTTACTCACGTCATATACTACTTATAAGTAGCGCGCACCACACTTCGTCTAGAAAATACAGTCCTATAGTGGCCATTGACCAGCAATAGATCCATACACCATTTGTTCCTTGAGGATTGTTGAGCACATGTAAAACTCACTAGTTTCGAATCATGATTTATCGACTTACCTACAGAGAATATTTTTCGTACCCATGAATATCCAGTTATAGGTCCCAACTGGACATTCGCTTTTCGTTATCTTAGTTTTGTAAACAACAAATCGATTGTCAGAAAGAAATGAGTAGGACTTCCGTGATGGTGTTTACAAAGAGTACACTCCCTACTTTCGGCTGTATTAGGGCTTTTGGTGGTATGTAGAAATGAACTGTTTGCTTTCTTGTCGAGCGCAATACCATCGAATAATTGAGTTCACATACTAGAGTTACGCGCTTTTTAAGTTATGTCATTCAAGGTCACCATCCATTAATTGGATGGATATATGCTGAATGTAAATGAACAGTGAGAATTTTCTTTCGAGTTCTAATCTTCCTCAGTTGATGTGGTTAGGACATGTGTTACGAATGCCTCTAACCACCGACTGCCTCGACGAGCTATTTTTTGTGGTGTAGGAGTTGGCTGGAAGAAAGTTAGGGGCGGCCAGACCAAAACATGGCAGAAATGCATGAAGTCATTGATAAGTGGACTGAGTTATGTTGGTAGGTGTAGGCTATCTGGTTGGAGTCGGCGAGATGATAGTAATCGATGGTTAGAGACTTCGAATAGTGACATGGCTCAAAATCGTTTGCAATGGCGCAGGTGCATTCATTTTTGTCTTCTCTCACATTGACAACTGTATCCGTGTATTGGCAGCTTGAACATACGTACGAAGTTCTATGTTGTAGCTGATGATTGACTAACCTTTAGCTGTTTGCTTTCATTTCATCCAAGACATCTGGATAACTGTTATAGTGTCAAGCTCCAAGCGGACCACATATAGATCATTGTAAAATGTGAATCCGTAGTTGTCTTCATACACGGTAAACTGCTCGACATATCCTAGATATTTCACTTTTGTTGAATATTGACCAGAAAAATTGTGCGAATAAATAATTTCATAGTTGATTGCATAAATCTCTTTTTTGAAATCAAGAATCAATCATTGTTAGACCAATCATTTAGAAACTTTGGAGTACTGAAAGACAACTGTCGTTCTAGTATAGGACTATTCATCAGTAGCACAGTACGCGTTCACGACTTCCGCCGCTCACGGGATTCGGACCCTGGAACCTTCGTCGGTCTAACATTGTTCGATTCATGGTTTCAAAAAGTAACTCAACAATCTCCATAACCTTTTCATTCATCTAGTCTGTAAGGAGCTATGAGCAGATAACATCAGTATGTGAGATTATATACCTATAAGAGAAACATTGAACCGACCACTCTGTAAGGCCACACAAGGCCAGACCAAAATACGGCAAAAATCCATGAAGTCACTGACAAGTGGACTAAGTCATATCGGTAAGTGTCGACTATACCTCGTTTGGGTCCGCGATATGATAGTAACCGGAATGACATGGCGCAAAAGCGTTTGCGATGACGCAGGTGCATTCATTCTTTGTGTTCTCTCAAATTCTACCCTTCTGGATTCCTCAAACCCTGATCTCTCCGATTACCGCTAATACCTTTACTACCTCTACAGCTTTGGAATGTGAATTGACAATTGCATCTTTCTGTGCTAATGTGGTGGTATGGTAACTGGAACTGGTGTACGTACATACGTGATTGATTGATTCTAAGGACACATACATATTTACCTTGCATTGACAGAAGATAATCGCTAAAACTTTAGAAATTGACACAGACATACACACACAAACAAGTGTATTTGTGACTAGTGAGGAAATTCTCAGAGTTCTAGTTGAGAAGACGTGACCAGTGGAGGAGTTCAACCCTGTCGGGTGTAGTAGGCAGTAACTACTACCAAAGACAAATGGGTGAGGTCGCGCAAAAATCCCTAGATCAATCAGAGTTAGACATGAACACCGTTGGATACCGGCCAGCTCAGTGGTCCAATGGTTAAGCGTTCGCGCACAATACCGAAGTTCCCGGGTTCGAATAACTGCGAGGTGCAGGAGTCGTGGATGCGCACTACCACTGATGAGTCCCATCTATACCAGGACAAAACGGCCGTGTTTCAGTGCTTCCAGGTTTCTAATGCTGATAGTCTAACAATGATTGATTGATGCTTTCAAATGTGTTAGAAAGCACTAATCTCCATAACTCTAATTGAAAATATCGTAAAATGTGCTCATTAGTGACTAGCGTCGTGAGGAAATTCTCGGAGTTCTAGGGTGAGAAGACGTGACCAATGGAGTTTAGCCCTGTCGGGTGTATGCAGTAACTACCGAAGACAAATGGATTAGGTCGTGTAAAAATCCTTAGATCAATCAAATGTGTTAAACAACATTCACACCGTTGGATATACCGGCAAGCCAACTCAGTGTGGTTCCATAGGTTAGGCACTCGTGCACAATACGGTAGGTCAAGTATTCGAATCGGGAGAGGTGTAGGAGTCGTGGATGCGCACTGCTGGGGAGTCCCATATCAGGACGAAACGGCCATCCAGTGCTTCCAGATTTCTAATGGTGATAGTCCTAAACTCTGCCCGACAATGTGTATTTGTGTGTGTGTGTGTGAGAGAGAGAGAGAGTGAGAGATGAACACAAAATGAATTAATTTATTTGAAACTCTAGATAGAGAAGAAAAAATTAAAAAGAATTTAATAAAATTCCCGGCTATGCATCACCAATAAACGTTTTTTTATTTGTTTTTGCCTGTGTTTGTTTTTCATCCTCTCTCTCTCTCTCTATCTATCTATCTATCTATCTATCTATCTATCTATCCATCTATCTATCTCCAACTCAACTCAATGAACTTGAAATGGAATCTCAACGTTTTATTTTTTAGTTTGTTCATTCATGACCTGTTTTTATATTTTATTATTTCCCATTCTTCATCAAACAATCATGATTATCTATTACTAATATTAGTAGTATGATTATTGATAAAGAGTTTCTTTTTTTAGTATTGTGATGAATAGATGATGAATTCGGTTGATACAATGCATGCATGATTAATTCACAGTTGAACTGATTTCTCTGTGTGTGTGTGTGTGTTTCGATGATCGTTTGCGTGTGACCTTGGCGTAGGGCTACAAATCTTTTTATGAAATGTGGTTGTGTATGTGTGTGTGTGTGTACGACGAGGAGGAGGAGGAGGATGAGGAGAAACGAAATGAAAACTTTTGATTCTGACCTACTCACTATTCATTATAAGTAGTATTAGTAGTAATAGTAGTAGTAGTAGTGGAATTGGTCACGTATCAAATAGTATTCACTTACTTTTTTTTCGCGATTCAATAACTATGAAAGCATTAAGGTTGTTATTTCTAACTATTTCGTTATTATAACTTGAAATTATGAATTAATCGATGTGTTAGATCAACTTCTAAGCTCGACGAGCTTTGTTTTGTAGTGTAAGAGTAGGAGTAGGTTGGAAGAAAGTTAGGGGCGGCCAGACCACAAAACATGGCGCCAGAAATCCATGAACTCATTGACAAGTGGACTGAGTCATGTCGGTAGGTGTCGACTACATGGTTGGGGTCCACGAGATGATAATAATCGATGGTTAGAGACCTTGGAATGACATGGCTCAAAACCGTTTGCAATTGCGTCGGTGCATTTATTCTTTGTGTCCTGTCAAATCCTAATCTTCTGGATTCTTCAACAACTCTAGTTTTGACTTTCTAAACTTTTCTCACTGAATCATACTTCTTGAATAATATCTTCTAATCTTAACCTCTCCGATTACTTCTAATACCTTAACTACCTCTACTACCACTATTGGATTTGAATTGACAATTACATCTCTGTGTGCTGATGTGGTATGGTAACATGAACTGATGTACTTACGTACGAAGTTCTACGTTGCATCTGACTGACTGACTGACTGACTGAAAATAAAGACAAGTAAGGAGAGGGACTGGAAGGTATCATCGATTCACATAAATTTGTTTCATTGATAAATTGAACTATGATTTCTGTAATACTTTGATCAAAAACTGAGTTCACTAGTGACTAGTTTTGTTCTGCTGCCAGACATTACGTTTTTTTACTCACGTCATATACTACTTATAAGTAGCACGCACCACATATCTACCACTATGGGATTTAAACTGACGATTGCATCTCTATACAAATGTGATGGTATGACACCCTGAACTGATGTAAGTACATTTACGGAGTTCTATGTTTTAACTGACTGACTCTGACTGACATTGTCTATTCAACAAGATCGACAATACACACAACCATGGTTATTCCCGAATATTTATTTGTTCTTCGTATTCAAGTGTCATTTTCATTTTATAGTTACTTCTAGATCTGATTGAGTTCTTGTTTGTTTTTCGCACACCGCTTTTTTTATTTTCTACAAGGTACACATGTTATGGAAGGTAGCGGGAGAATGGTTGTCACTGCTGTTGGACCAAATTCACAAGCTGGTATTATATTTGCTTTGCTATCATCTGGTTCTAGTGATGAACATGGAGGCGGTGGTCAAGAGAATAAAAAGAAAAGTAAGTGATGTGTATCGTACACTTTACTTGTGTTACTGTTGTTTGTTGTCCGAGCGCGAGCCCAAAGGTCCTGGGTTCGACTCCTGTGGGTAGCGAGAGTTATGGATACCGCATTGCCACTGGATAAGTAGTAGTTCTGACCTACTAGGATGAAACGGTCATCTTTCAGTGCTTTTCTAGTTTCTCATGTTGATCGAACATTGATCTAACATTTATTTACGCCTGTTATTACTGTCAGTGGTGTATAGGCTGCCGATCAGCATTCTTCATCCTACTCTGTCCTGGGTCTTCTTGTTCAGTTCTATCCAGTTACTGTTGATTCTTCATATGTCTGTCTCCGATCGTCGACATAATGTGTTCTTAGGTCTTCCTTTTTTCTCTTGGCTATGAGAATTCCAAGTGAGGACTTGTCTCGTATTGCAATTGGGTGTCCTATCCACTTTCAGCGCTTCTTCTTAATTTCCCTCTCTACTAGATGATTCTGGTTTGTTCTTTCCGACAGAGTAGGTTGTTGTTTATGGTGTCTGGTCAACCGATCCGAAGCAGTTTTTGAAGACAACTGTTGATAAATACTTGTATCTTCTGGATGATGGCTTTGGTAGTTTTCAAAGTTTCCGCCCCACACAGCAGAAAGAACTGTCTTGACATTTGTATTGAAAATTCTGATGTTAGTTTTGGTTGAAAGTTGTTTGGAGTTCCAGATATTTTTCAATTGTAGAAATGCGACCCTTGCTTTACCGATCCTCACCTTTACATCGACATCGGATCCACCTTGATTGTCGATGTTGTTACCCACATATATAAAGGTTTTTACATCTTTTAAGGCATCTCTTCATCAAGGATGATTTGATTGGTGCATGTTGTGTTTTGTCGGAGAATCTTGCTTTTCCTTTTATGTATGTTGAGACGTGCTGCTGCTGAGGCTGCTGCTACACTGGTCGTCTTCTGTTGTATTTGTTGTTGCGTGTGCGATAGAAGATCCAGGTCATCTACGAAGTCCAAGTCGTCCAGCTACATCCTGGCTATCCACTGTATACCATGGTTCTGCACAGATGTTGACGTCTTCATAATCCAGTGGATCTCCAGGAGAAAGAGAGAGGCTGAGAGCAATCGACTTTGCCTGACACCGGTCTTCACCTGTAACAGGTCTGTCAGCTGTCCCTCGTGTACGATTTTGCAGTTGAATCCATCATAAGAATTCTGTATGATATTAACTATTTTCTCAGGCACACCGTAGTGTCGAAGAAGCCTCCACAGTGTTTTCTGTCCACGCTATCCAATGCTTTCTCGCCATCAGTGAAGTTGATGTAGAACGGTGAATTCCATTCAATTGATTCTTTTCCACAATGATCCGTAATGTTGTAATTTGGTCAGTACACGATCAATTTTTACCACATTTAGTTGGTTGATTTCGAATTTGGACTTTTACAAAGTCCTTCATTCTATTTAACAACAACAACTTGTTCAACACTTTCCTTGCTATCAAAGGAACAGTGAGGCGTCTTTAATTCTGGCACTTGTCCAAGGCGAATCTCTTTATCATCAAGAGTAGTAGTTGTAGTGATGCTTTGATTAGCGGCATGTTTTGTGTTGTTGTTATTGTATCAGAAACCATTGCTTACTTACTTACTTACGCCTGTTACCCAATATGGAGCATAGGCCGCCCACCAGTTTTCTACAACCAACTCTGTCCTAGGCTTCCCTTTCCAGTTCTGTCCAATGTTTGTTCATTCCTCTCATGTCTCTCTCTATTTCTTGGCGTAATGTGTCCCTTGGCCCTCCTCTTTTCCTTTTGCCTTGAGGGTTCCATGTAAGGGCTTGTCTCGTGATGCAGTTAGGTGCTTTCCGTAGTGTGTGTCCTATCCACTTCCACCGCTTCTTCTTGATTTCCAACTCCACTGGTGGTCCTTCTGAACGTTTTATTGATACAGATATGGTCAATTTGGTTTTCATTAGTGTAGTCCGGTGCAATCCATGTAGCTTTGTGCATGCGTTTGTACGCGAATATTGTGCCACCGATGACCAGTTTGTTGAAGGCACATAGGTTTGCAAATCTCTCACCATTTTCGTTCCTTTCTCCCAGTCCATGTCGTCCCATGATGTCTTCATATCCAGTGTTGTCCATTCCAACCTTGGCATTCAGGTCTCCCATAAGATTCGTCAAATCCTTTGGTGAACATTTCTCGAAGATTGACTGCAGCCTTTCGTAGAATTGATCTTTAACGTGGTCATTGTAGTCATTGGTAGGTTCATAACATTGGATGACGTTCATTGTAATGTCCTGTTTCTTTGTTTTGAAGGATGCTTTAATGATCCTGGGTCCATGAGATTCCCATCCTATCAGTGCCTTTTGTGCATGTTTGAACAGCATCAGTGCAACTCATTGTGTATGTGAAGCGTTTTCCTCTTCATGACCAGAGTGTAAGGGCAGTTCCCCTGAAGCTAGTCTCAGTTGTCCTACCTGTGTCCAATGTGTTTCACTGATGCCGAGCACCTCGAGGTTGTATCTTTTCATTTCTACCGCAACTTGAAATAGTCTTCCAGTCTCCCACAATGTGCGAACGTTCCATGTACCTAAAAAAATGGTTGCTCTGGTTTTCAGAAGAGGCATCGGCCCCGTGACTTCCGAGGGAACTCGGCTTTCATCACGCAGGGCAGAGTTAAAATGGTTTGAATTATTTTTTCCGGTTAGCGTTTTTTTGGCAAATGAGATTTCGACGGAATGGGGTCGTCAACCCCATGTCCAACCCTCCTCCTTTATCCGGGCTTGGGACCGGCAGTAGCCCCTAAGGTTCTACTGGCGGAGTTATCAGAAACCATTCAGTGAGTGTAAATTCTTATTTGATCATTTTTATACCTGTTATAACGCTGCTATGTAGCTATTCAAATCCTACCGACATCCAAATTCAAATATTCCCCAATACGACCTCAAATATTATTTTCGGGCAGAGTTTTGGGAGGTTTGTGTTGTTTTACACATTTGAAATCATCAATCAATCAATCATTGTTAGACCATAACAAGCACTGAAACACTGCCGTTTCGTCCTGGTGTGGACTGCTCATCAGTGGCAGTGCGCATCCACGACTCCTGCACCTCGCACGATTCGAACCCAGGACCTTCGGTATTATGTGCGAACGACTAACCTATGGGACCACTGGGCCGGCTGGCATCCAACGGTGTTAATGTTAAATACTATTCCCAAATCTCCAAAATATAGATCAGAACACAACACCGTTAGATGAAAGTTGTTTATTCGAGTCGAGTACAGAAGAGAGAGGTAGGCAGGAAGGAATTGGGAAACATGAAGTGATGAAGTCTTACACATAGTGCATATTTTATAACATTTAGGTCGAATAGAAAACAGCATCAAAGTCTGTGACATTATTGACAGTTTAGGACGACGACGACGCCGACCAATAGGAAGAAAACATTTGAAATGACATTGACAGTCCAGCTGACCAATCAGAGACGACAACATTGACCATTTATTTTGACCAATAGAAATCGACCAATAGGATGATACTTCCAAAAATAGTAGTAGTACCCTGAGGATAGTTAGTTAGTCAATATCTTAACAATATCTTCTTAAATCTATTTTTTTTCCTTCCTTTAAATTATTTTAGATAAAATGAAAATGGATAAAAATAACAAAGGCAATCAAGCCAACATGTCAGGCGCTGCTGTTAATTCCGATGCTTATCCAATGAAAAGCACAAAATCACCTGGTGGTGGAGGTAGTGGTAGTACTGATCATAAACCTAAAGACAAGAAAAAGAAACCACGTCGTAAAGAACAATCGGTATTACAAGCGAAATTAACTAAATTAGCTATACAAATCGGTTATGTTGGTAAGTGGCTGTGATTGTGAATGTTGTGATTTTCGCATGTGGAGTTTATTGTGTAACAGTTCGCTATGTGAAATATGGCCAGTAATAATAGAGTCAGTCAGTTGCAACGTAGAACTTCGTACGTAAGTACATCAGTTCATGTCGCCATACCACATCAGCACAGAGATATAATTGTCAATTCAAATCCAATAGTAGAAGAGGTAGTAAAGGTACTAGAAGTAATCGGAGAGGTTAGGATTAGAAGATATTATTCACGAAGTATGATTCAATGAGATAAGTTTAGAAAGTCAAAACTAGAGGTGTTGAAGAATCCAGAAGATTAAGATTTGACAGAACACAAAGAATAAATGCACCGGCACCGTTGCGAACGATTTTGAACCATGTCATTCAGTGTCTCTAACCATCGATTATTATCATCTCGCGGACCCCAACCAGATGGTAGTCGACAATTACCGACATGGCTAAGTCCACTCGTCAATGACTTCATGGATTTATGCCATGTTTTGTGGTCTGGCCGCCCCTAACGTTCTTCCAACCTACTCCTACACCACAAAACAAAGCTCGACGAGGGAGTCGCTGGTTAGGCATACGCAACACGTGTCCCAACCACCTCAACTGATGCAGTTTCAGCACTTCATCTATTGATCTGCCATTCTTACCTAGTACCCGTTTCCTAATAACAGCGTTGCTCACTCGGTTGTCCCACGATATACGAGCAAAGCTTCGAAGACACCTATGATCGAAAACCAATAACCGACGAGTATCTTCTACTCTCATTGGCCATGTTTCACAGCCATAAAGTAAGACGGAGCGAACCACTGCGCAGTACACTCGTCCTTTAGTCAGCAAACGGATATCTCGCCTACGCCATAAGTGACGCAGGTTGGCAAAAGCCAATCGAGCCTTCTGTATCCGTGCCGAGATTTCGTCAGTCATCAGGCCATCGGCACTGATGAGACTCCTAAGATAAGTGAAGCGGTCTACACGTTCGACCACTTCACTCCCTATCACTAGTTCAGGTGCCGATGAAATCAAATCTTGAATCAACATTTTGCATTTCGAGGGTGAGAACCGCATCCCGAACATGCTTGCATTGTTGCTTAGTAGGGTAGTCAGAAGACTCTGTATTTTGTCAGAGTCTTCACCAAGTAGGACTATGTCATCGGCATATTCTAAGTCAATTAGCAAGCCACCTGGTAAAAGGTGTATTCCTGAAAATTCAGACGACGACATGGCTCAGAATCGTTTGCAATGGCGCAGGTGTATCCACTCTTTGTGTTCTCTTAAATTCTAACCATCTGAATTCATCATCTCTATCTTTCTCTCTTTCTAAATTTCTCTTACTGAATTATACTTCTCGAATCGAATCTTCGCTCCCTAATCTTCTCCATTACTGCTAATACTTCTATTATTGCTATCACTCTTGGAATTGAACTGACAGTTGCGTCTCTGTGCTGATGGGGCATGGAAACCTGAACTGATGTAGTTACGTACGAAGTTCTGTGTTCTATCTGTCTGTCTGTCTGTCTTAGTCTCCTGAAACCCTGTCCTAGATAACATGTTGGAACTTTTAGTTTACAGACATTGTGTCAAGTAGGGCAACAGGCTTCCTTAGCTAGGATATTAAAATCTCGCTCAATCGATGTATGCTGCGTCTCAGAAACGCGCATACAGGATCCTAGTAAAATCATTAATTTGATTTCACCTTATCAAAACAAAGAACCAACTCAACTTACTCTTCGTGTATCTGCTAGCTCTGATACTGCTCCCCTGGTTTTCGCTGGTGTAGTTATAGAATTGAGTCGTAGGGCAGAACTAACTTTCCTAGACTGCATCCCAGTAGATAGTCTCTTGTGCGCTGTCAGACTGAACGAGACAGTAAGGACACGGAAAGATAGGGACACTCGCTGTTGCCTCTTTTTCGTATCTGTCTACGTCACCAGTAACTGCAGTTCAGAGCAGATAAAAGATGAGTTTTACAGAAATCTCTCTAACCTCCCTCAGAAAGTGGGCAGAACACTTTAAGTATCATTTCAACTGACCTTCAGCCACACTTTGGCTGCCCACGATTTCCAATCAACCTGAATGGGAAATCGACGTAAGTCCTCCGAGTCCTTATTAAGTTGAAAAAGCTATAGGAAATCTAAATCTAGGTAGAGCTGCAGGGCCTGATATTCTAAATCCTGAGATTTTTAAGGATGGCTTGCTGACTAAAGAACGAGTGTACTGTGCAGCAGTTCTCTCTATCCTACTATATGGCTATGAAACATGGCCAGTCGGAGTCGAAGATATTCGTAGGTTACTAGGTGTCATTGAGGCATCGCTCGTGTATTCTCGGACAACTGAGTAAGCAATACTGTCGTTAGGAAATGAGTACTACATAAGAATGGCAGATTCATTAATGAAGTATTGAAACTGGTTAGGACATGCGTTACGAATATCCAACCACTGACTGCTTCGTCGAACTATGTTTTGAGGTGTAGGAGTAGTAGGTTGGAAGAAACTTAGGGGCGACCGAACGAAAACATGTTAGTAAGTGTCGGCTACCTGGTTGGGGTACACGAGACAATCGTAACCGGTGGTTAGAGACCTCGAACGACATGTATCAAAATCGTTTGCAATGGTGCGCAGGTGCATCCATTCTTTGTGTTCTCTCAAAATCTAATTTCCTGAATTCCTCATCATCTCTATCTTTCTCCTTCTAAATTTATCTTACTGAATTATACTTCTTGAATAATTTTTTCGAACCTTAATCTTTCCGATAACTACTCAGACTTCCAGTACCTCTACTACCATTACTACTGTAGTGAAGGAGAACACAGGTGAGGCCAACCGAATTGTATTTAACGAAAATTACAGAGTTAATTGGTAAAGTAGAAAAAACCATATCGTAAACGGTTAATTTGCAAATCTTCAATCCATCATCAATCCATTGTCTGACATTTCACTTACTATTCATGCATTTCATACAAATTCCATTGTATTCCCCCCACTCTTCCTTTCTTGTTGATCTTCCCCCATCTTCTCTTCTGCCAGACATTACGTTTACATACTCGCGTCATATACTACTACTTATAAGTAGCGCGCACCACACCTCTACTACTATTACAATCACTATGAGATTTGAACGGACAATTCGATCTCTCTATCTCTCTCTATGTGTGCGTGCAAATGTAGTGTACTATAGCAACTTGAATACTGATGTACATACAAACATACCTACGTACGTACGCACGTACGAAGTTCTACATTGTTGCTGACTTTGAACAAATAGTATAAATCATCCGTTTGTTGTTAACTTGTCTTTTTAATTAAATTAACTCATTAATAATGTCAAAATTTATTAATCATATTACTATTACTATTATTAGTAGTATTATTAAAAAAATAGTAATTTGACAAGTTGAAAGATTCATTAAAATCAAGAAATAAATCACTTGACATTGATAATAATAATAATCATACTACTGAAATAAAAAAAAATTAACTTCATTTCAAAATCACAGAAAAAATTGTACAAGAAACACACATACACACACACTGAAAAATGACTGTGTGTATGCTGCAACATATAAACTGAAGTGTGAATTGGTTTTTTTTTCAATACAAAAAATAAAATGCGACACATTACAATTTATTATTAAGATTGATACTACTCACAACGTGTGACTTGTAAGTAGTATGCATTGAGAGGATCACTAAGAAGTTACGATTGGAGAGAAAAGTGTCAGATTCGAATGTATGGCGCCGATCGGGATGTGTTTTTTTGGAAGATCAAAAGATATGTGAAAGAATACTTGGAAGTGTACAGTGCTTCTCTAAATACACTACTATTCTATCAGGGGTTTTAACAGCTTCGTTTACAACGTTACTACAAGTATGCATAATATTAGTATCGTTGTTAAATAAAACTCATCCTGGAGCCCCTCCAGGACTAATGCCGGCTTCAAGCCAGAATACAGGAGGAGGGTTAAGTATGGGGTTGGTGACCCTATCCTGTAGAAAACCAACTCGCCAAAAAAAACGCTAACCAGAAAAAGTGATTTAAATCGTCTAAACTCTGCCCTGTGAGTTAGAAAGTCTTCATTTAGAAGAGTTATGACGTCTCATGATGAAAGCCGAGTTCCTTCAGAAGTCATGAGGCCGATGCCTCTTCTGACAAGCAGAAAGTGAGAGAGAGAGAGCCCTTCCACGATGTGAGTAGTCGGGAAGTAACATACACCCTCATACCCGTAAAAACACACGAGACCAAATCGGTACCAGATTATAAAAGATTGATATGGTTGTAGAGAAGAATGTATTTACCTGTACAAGTTGATACTACTCATATTGTGGTTTATAAGTAGTATGCAATGAGAGGATCGTTGATAAGTTACGGTTGGAGAGAAAAGTGTCCGATTCGAGCATATGGCATGATCAGAATTTGTATATCAGTTCAGGTTGCCATACCAACACACATTAGCACAGAGACGCAATTGTCAATTCAAATCCAATAGTGGTAGAGATAATAGAAGAATTATTGCTGGTGGAGAAGATTAGGATTTGAAGATATTATTCAAGAAGTATAATTCAGTGAGATAAGGTTAGAAAGACAAAGGTAGAGGTGTTGATGAATCCATAAGATTAGGATTTAAGGGAATACAAAGAATGAATGCCCCGGCGCCATTGCATAAGGTTGGCGACCCCGTCCCGTAGAAAACTAACTCGCTATAAAACGATAACAAGAAAAAATAATTCGAATCATTTTAGACTCTGCCCTGGGAGTTAAGTGGTCTGCATTTAGAAGAGTTATGACGCCTCATGATGAAAGCCGAGTTCCTTCAGAAGTCATGAGACCGATGCCTCTTCTAACAACCAGAGAGAGAGAGCCCTCGCCCGACCGTAGCTGCTACCTTGACGTGGTGGTCGGGCTTGCCTATCGTGATGACCCAACCGAGTTATATTGGCTGGAACTTATGTTCCTGAAGGTTCTACTATGCCAGGCAGGTCGATTGGAGAACGATCAAACTAAACGCAGCTACCCAAGGTCTGAGGGCGAAGTCGTACTGCTGACTGTGATGGAGGGGTGTGACAGCAGTAAGATGTTTCCATCGGACAACCAGCATCTGCAGAGGTTGCCGCCTTCTTATACAACGAAAGGAAGATGTTAGAAAAGGTTAGCCTTAAAAATGTCACACCTCACCCTACCTCACGGATTTCCGTCTCCTTGGGTAAGGTTGCCCATTAAGGGCTTCCAAGAGCGGAACTAATACTCAAAAAACCTTTCATCAAACGGTCGTGCGTGACTAGCCTCAAGCAGTTGTCCGCTGGGCTCTACGGTCACGCACCCAGGTCCTTAAGACCAACACTAATCTACCTTCCTTCTCAGATTCCTCAAGAAACAGCCTTCCACGGTGTGGGCAGCCGGGAAGTGACAACCGCCCTCATACTCGTAACAGCACAAGAAAGCCCTTCCACGGTGTTGGCAGCCGTGAATTAACATACACTCTCATCACCCGTTAAAACACAGGAGACCAAATCGGTACCAGATTATAAAAGCTTTACTCAGATGTTTTCAATATCTACTGCCTGATATAAATATGCATGATTTCAAGTTTTAAATAACCTACTTCGGGAAGTGGATACGTTGAATCGTAGCATACACCGAAATACATCATACTTGCTTAAATGTATTATTTACTCGTGTTCTTTTTGGTCGAAAACATTTACCTCAAATTGTAAACCTCCCTCAGAATTACTTCAAAAATCTCCATAATAAAAAAATCACTGTTTCCAAGTAGGTCATGTGTAGTTGGCATCAATCAAACAGTTACTCACCCACTCACCCACCCCATCCTTTGGTCACTAATATCATAACTAATACATCTCGTATGTTTCAAATCGAATTTCTTACAGAAGAAGTATTTTTTCCTCATGTTGTGAGCAACTGAAAAGTAATAACCAATCATTGGGGAAAAAAATACATTTAACACTCAGACCACTGAATTGAGCCATATATGTTGGTACCTGTAGACTACACTCGGTCGAGGTTGGCAAGACAATCGTAAGCTTGGTAGGGTTAAAACCTTTGAATGGCATAACTCCAAATCATACTGCAATAGCACTGTGGTGGCCAATTTACTGCGGCGGGCTCACCATTATTGTGTACACTGGCGAGCGAATGAGCGACTGAAGCGAATCGTATGAAGCGATGTTGGGGAAGGAGTGTGAATAAAAGGGATGGAGCGCGTTGGTGAAGGCTAATGAGCCAACTCAAAGAGATAGAGAAGCGTGACTAAGAATATATAGTCAGACAAAAAATAAGACAGACATGCCACAAGCGAAATAGGCATGCACACATGATGAATAAAAGCGACAAATGATTGTATGAAATGCATGAATAGTGAAATGTCAGACAATGGATTGATGATGGATTGAAGATTTGCAAATTAACGGTTACGATATGGTTTTCCTATTTTACTGAGTAACTCTGTAATTTGCGATAGATACAATTCGGTTGCCCTCACCTGTGTTCTCCTTCACTACAACGTTACGTTGTAGTGTGTCGATTTCGACGTTGAGCTCACCATTTGAGTGGTGACCTATATCACGTCAGGCTCACCATTTGTAGTGTGTTGATTTACTGCGTGTTCTTAAGCTTGGTAATTAGCTCGTCCATACAGTCGTTAAGAAATAGCGTCTGACGGTTTATAAATCAGAAGGTGAACTCGAAGTGATGAATAAGTTTATTTGGGACACACCACAAATAGAACAGTAGACTACAAGTGCTATAAGATAAAATCGTCATGCGAGCGACGGAAAGCAGGCAACCGAGTGAATAGGCGAATGAACGGATGAAGTGATGTGGAGAAGGCTAGTGAGCCAACTCAAAGAGATAGAGCATGACTAAGAATATATAGTCAGACAAATATAAGACAGACATGCAACAAGTGAAAATAGGCACACATGAATAAAAGCGACGAATAGTTGACAAGGTCAAATGACAAGTGGAACACGTCATGTGAGCTCATCGTACAAACCAGACAATAATAATAAGAACGAATGGTACATATAAATTGTTGCAATACAAATAATGGCTTGGTTAAATAAATTAATCGAAAGGGCTTAACCAAATTAAATGTAAGTGAACTCGAATGTATATGTGGGGGTACTACAGCACAGATGCATTCATTTTTTGGGTTCTCCCATATTTTAATCTTCTGAATTCCTCACAACTTTCATCTGTCAAGTTCATAAATTTATTTCACTGAACTATACTTCTCGAGTCATATCTCCTGACCCTAATCTCTTCGATTACTGCTCATACTTCTACAAACGGCTCTACTACTGTGGGATTTGAATTGACAATTCCACCACTCTGTGTGCTAATGTGCTAGTATGGCATTTTGAACTGATGTACATACGTACGTAAGGAGTTCTACATTGTGATTGACTGACTGACTGACTGAGTAACTGAATCCTTCCAATTACTGCTCATACTTCTACCACCAACTCTACTACTATGGGATTCGATCTCTGTGTGCTAATGTGGTGCTATGGCAACTTGAACTGATGTAAATACGTATGTAAGAAGTTCTACATTGTAAATGATTGACTGACTGATTGACATTTAACTCATGTAAACTACTTTCACCTTGCGCTTTTCTTGTCTTGTGTTTTTTGCTCTCATCAGGTACATGTGTTGCTATAGCTACAGTGTTAATATTAATTATCAAATTCTCAGTGCATACATTTGCACAAAATAAAGAACCATGGCAAACTGGGAAACATTTAAAACAAATAGTGAATTATATTATTACTGGTGTAACTGTATTAGTTGTTGCCGTGCCTGAAGGTTTACCATTGGCTGTTACATTGTCATTGGCTTATTCAGTGAAACGTATGATGAAGGTAAGTAGTAGTGCCGCAGATTGTCATTTTGTCATGTTATTTTGTATTTTGAGTTGATTTAGTATTTACATCTCGGTTATTTTCTGTTTTTATTGTTATTATTGTGAAGTTATGTATCGAGTTGTTATACTGAAGGATGAGTGTTATTGCGCCATAGTTCGCTCTGTTCTACTCTGTATGTCGTGTGAAATATGACCAGTGAGAGTAGAAGATGTACGTTTTGTGGTGTAGGAGTAGGTTGGAAGAAAGCTAAGGGTGGCCAAACCAAAACATGGCACAGATCCATGAAGTCACTGACAAGTGAACTGAGTCATGTTGGTTAATGTAGGCTATCTAGTTGGGGTCCGTGAGATGATAATAATCGATGGTTAGAGACCCTGAATGACATGGCTCAAAACCGTTTGGAATGACGCAGGTGCATTCATTCTTTGTGTTCTCTCATATCGTAACCTTCTGAATTCGTCATCACCTCTATCTTCCTCTCTTTCTAAATTTATCTCACTGAATTATATTTCTTGAATTAACATCTTTGGACGGTAATCTCTTCGATTACTTCTAATACTTTTACTACCTGTACTACTATGGGATTTGAATTGACAATCACATCTCTGTACTAATGTGGTATGGCAACTTGAACTGATGTACGTACGTACGTACGAAGTTCTACGTTGCATCTGACTGACTGACTGACTCTCTAACCGCCGACTGACTAGTCGAGCTATGTTTTACGGTGTAGGAATAGGTTGGAAGAAAGCTAGGGTTGGCCAACCCAAAACACGGCACAAATCCATAAGGTCACTGGAAAGTCGACTGAGTCCTGTGGTCCAGTGGTTTTTTTTGTTTTTCAGCTTTCCAATCACATTGATCATTGATCATTGGATTGATTGATGATCAATGTTCAACTGAACTACTCAATATCTTTTCACATATATAAAGTCTTGTTAAATGTTTGTTTTTTTTTATTTATCCCGCTCATTTCCTTTATTGTTCTTTCCTCTCTCTCTCTCTCTCTCATTTAATTATTGCGGGAATAAAAACACAAAATTAATCATAAATTGATCATTGAACAAGAAAACAAAAAAAATCTCGTTGTTGTTCGTGTTGTTTTAATATGCTGCCTAACTAAATCTATGACAAATAAACAGATAAATAAAATAAATAAGAGAGGAATTAAGAAAAAATATATATATTTAAGTGAATCATTTTTTATTTCAGTAGAATTTCAAAAAACAAGTGTATTGTTTTGTTGTGTTTCTCCTGCTGATACGCATTCAATGTTCAATTGTTGTTCAATTGTTCAATTGTTCAACTGTTCAATAGTGGCTTGTTTTAAACGATAAAAAAAAACAAACAGAAAACATTATCGAATTACAATAAATAAAAAATGAACATATAGAATTTCTTGTTTTTTTTTAACTCATTTAAAAATTGTCCATAACCAAAATGAGAGGAGGAGAAGAAGAATGTGAAAAAATTCATTACGAACTGTGACTAGTAGTGTAGCTAGCAGCAGCCTGTGTAGCAGCAGTAGGTCTCAATATACATAAAGGAAAAAGTAAGAGATTCTACGATACAACACAACATGCACCAACCAAATCACTCTTGCTGTGGATGCCTTGGAGGACGTTGACACCTTTACATATCTGGGCAGCATCATCGACAATCAAGGTGAGGGCGTGGATCGGCAAAGCAACGGCTGCATTTCTACAATTGAACAACATCTGGAACTCCAAATACATATCAATCAACACCAAAATCACGATTTTCAATACAAATGTGAAGACAGTTCTACCGTATGGAGTGGAAACTTGGAGAACTACCAAAGCCATCATCCAGAAGATACAAGTGTTTATTAACAGTTGTCTACGCAAAATACTTCCTATTCATTGGCCAGACACCATCAGCAACAACGAACTGTGGGAGAGAACAAACCAGATTCAAGTAGAGGAGGAAATCAGGAAGAAGCGGTGGAAGTGGATAGGACACACACTACGAAAAGCACCTAACTGCGTCACAAGACAAGCCCTCACTTAGAACCCTCAAGGTCAGAAGAAAAATGGAAGGCCAAGGAACACATTAGGCTGAGAAACAGATAAAGATATGAGAGAAATGAAAAAACGTTGGACAGAATTGGAGAAGGAAGCCCAGGACAAAGTTGGTTGGAGAAAACTGTTGGGCGGCCTATACTCCATTGGGAATAACAGGCGTAAGTAAGTAAGTACTGCCACTGATGAGTAGTCTCATACACTAGAACGAAACGGTCGTCTTTCAGTGGTTCTAGGTTTATTCTAATGATGTAGTCTAACATTGATCGATTTTATGATTACAAATGTGTAACTTAGCAATCTTTACAACCCTGTAATGCAATAATAACAGTTATACCACTATTAAATTATACAATAAGCTGAGAATTTTTCATTGGGATCGTGAATCGATCATTGTTAGATCACTGTTAGAAAGAAACCTGGCAGCATTGGACGGTTGTTTCCTCCTAATATATTGAAATTCATCAATCATGGTGTGCATTCACGACGCCCCGTACGCGGGCGTCAAATTTAGGACAATGGAGTGCCGGCTCAATGGTCCTGAGTCAAAGATTCTGGGTTTGGTTCGCAGCGTAGTGGTATGTCAACCTGAACTGATATACGTACATGAACTAAGTTCCACGTTATAACTGACTGACTCAATACTTCTACTACCTGTACTACTACTACTATGGGATTTGAATCGACATTTCGATCTCTCTCTCTCTCTCTGTGCTAACTTGGTGATATAGCAACTTGAGACATAATGTACATACGTACAAAGTTTTACGTTGTTGCAGCTGACTGACTGATTGACTTTCACTTTCCGGAAGTATTCACATAGACTCGATTGTTGTTGTTTTCGGGTAGAATTTTAAAGAACCTGTTGGAGACGTTAGATTGCCAGAAGTCATTTGGAAAAGGTCCTAATTTTGTAATTTATCGCTAAAATTTTGATTTTTTTATGTTTTCGCGGCAAGAGATGCTTAGTCTTGACCTTGAGATTACATTTTCCACTCGGAAAATCTCCTTGACTGTTATTGGTTGACGGATTATTTTAGTACGCTATTTTTGTGGCTCTCACCAAGGACATTGATATCTTTTTTTGGGGCACAGTTTTGGAGGTTTGCGTTTTTACACATTTGAAATCATCAATCGACCATTGTTAGACCACCCGATTTAGAAACCTGGAAGCACTGGACGGCCGTTTCGTCCTGGTGTGGGACTCCTCAGCAGTGCGCATCCACGACTCCTGCTCCTCGCAGGATTCGAACCCGGGACCTTTGGCATTGTAGGCGAACGCCTTACCATCGGACCACTGGGCCGGCTATCATTGTATAAATAAGCTTGATTTGTATGCTTAGCAACTTCGAATTCTCTGGGTGCTTGTACGCCTTATCAAGACTTCTTGCTTCTAATTAGCTTGACCTGAGACAATCCGATTAGAATAGCGTATATCATGTCACTGATGCATTGCTCTTCGTTCTGTTTACCGACTAAGGTGAAATTGTAATATCATTCAAGCCTATCATCAATTGACGAGTTTATCGATTTAATATTATCAACATTGTAATTTCCTAAAGACCCGGATATTAACTCTTAATGAAATCCAAAAACATCTGTTTTCGTCCATTTCGAGTACTACTCATCAACTTACATCAACTTACACACATTCTCACTATCGATAATTCACGTCGGGAATAAAACACACATCTATTGGTTTCCAAACCCCCCACCCCCCCCCAGCCCACCTCCAACTGCTCTGTAGCCTACTAATATATCGAATAAGCATAAATCATTGTTTGTCTTGCCAAAATATGTTTAGTAAACAGATCACCGATACTCACACACACACACGTACATGTACACGTGATTGTTGTGTGTGTATGTGTATGTGTGTGCGTGTACTACGTATTTTCGTGTTTGGTAAATACTGCTCATCTGTCATTCTAATTCTGATAAAAATAATAATAACGATTAATTAATCTGTTTACTTAATAAAATAAAATAAACTGTAATTGACTGACTGATTGACTGACTGACATGTATGTATGTGTGTCAGTGTGTGTGTGTGTGTACGCACCTGCCTATCATGAATGGTTCATCTGTTGAAGCAGTAACTGGAGCCGATCTAGTAAGCAGTAGTAGTACACCGTCCCTCCCTCCGACCCCCCCCCCGCCCCCACTCACTTGAAACAGTGATCACATATATATATCATTTCTTTTTTATTGTTTGTGATGATAACCGTTAAGCTTTTATTCCACTTGTCCCCAATGTGTACGTCTACGTGTGTACGTGTGAGACTACAAGAGGATTATTATTGTTGCGCTGTGTTCAGTCTTATCTTTTTCATTAAAAAAAAAACAACACTTTATTCTCTGTTAATTAACATAAGTATTATTATTAAGATTAGGATTAGTAAACAATACTGTTGATATAATTATGTTTGTTGTTCGGACTTATGGATTGGGTTGTATGTTGATCCAACTCTTGTCTCAATGTATGTACGTGTGTGCGCGTGTGCGTGCGTGTGGATGGCTGTTGTATTTAGATTGATATCATTAGAGTCTTGATTGATTGATTGATTGATACCTCTTCATAATACATACTTCCCAATTAAGACAACATTGTACATCCTTATATGTGTGCGTGTGTGTGTGTGTGTGTGTGATGAAAGGCTGTATAGATCCCGTCGAGGCAGTATCCACACTCACACACATACACATACACGAACACGAACGCACTCATGCTCATTGTAACCCAAAATGAAGTACCACCATTGGTGGCAGAAGGGTGGTGGTGAGGGGATGGCGCACGATTGATAATGTACTGCTTTGTTGCCTTTCCCAATCAATATACACAAGAGTGTTTTTCTTTGTTTCTCAGTTAATTGAGTGTTAATTTCCGTTGAATTGTGATTAATCCTGATGTTGATGATGTTGATGGTGATGATGATGTTATTGTCATTTAGGTTA